TAACTTATTTTTTGTGCTTCTTATTGGAGATTTGTAATTAGCACTTTCACCTGTTACTTAACATATTATTATATATTTATTGTTAAAACTTTGCTGTAAATCATTCAAAAATAAATAAATAAAATATTTACAGAAGCCTATAAACTAATAACTCTGACTTATTTTACATACGATTTGCTGACAAATGTGCAGGGTAAACGATGTTCAACAAGCATGTAAATGTCCCCCGGAGTGGAAGCTAATCGAGCTCGGGGCAACATCGCTCACTGTCGAATTAACACATACGCCCGAGACGTGAGAAGGTGAACGGACAAGTAGGTGGATACCTTTACTTTAAATGAACATTTTCATAATAATGCAAGGATAAGTAATACAGGATATATTGACTCATTATAGTCACAATTGCTTTTTGTTTATAAAATCTTACACGTATCCCGAGAAAAAGAAATATAATAATGTCAGGTTTGGAGATCTCCACAACCATGTAATCTGTCCATGTGTCCGATCCAGGGGGTCGATTCAGAACCTTACGATAACTGAGTTGTCGACCGATTCGACTTGATATTGTACGATTTCTTTTCATTATTATACACAACACCCGAATCGAACGTCAAACTGTCGTATTCGAAACCGAACTCTCGACCGGCAAAAACTAAAAACGTTATTCAGAACACAGTTATCGAATGTCCTATTATTTGCAAAGAATTTAATATGGAAATCTCTTAGTATTTTAAATAAAGTCTGGATTTTATTAAATTTTATTAATATATTTTAATGCAAAGATATTGCGTTCCCATATTTTAGGCCTTTAAAATCTTAAAAATGTACATAAAAGGATTTTCATTTTTCTTAAAATCTATTTCACCGACTAACTACGGAGTTAGTAAATGCTGTTGGATAACGATATCGTATCCGAATCCGAAACGAACGTTTAACTCGAATGTTCTGAGTAGCTTGGAAAGCGCCCTTCGATTCGGTTAAAATGTCGAAGACTTCTGAATCGGGATCCTGGAAAGACAACAGTAATTAAGACATTCGGTTGTTCCCTGTTATGAACCTCAGCCCCATCTTGAAATATTTAATTATAATTAAATTACCTAAACTTAAATGTAAAATTTCATAGTATTCTTTTCATTTCAAAAAATCCTATCCTAATAATATCAATTGACAGGACGAACTAGTCGTATCTAATGGTAATCTACACGCCTGTCCATAGCAGTTGTAGTGCCACTCAGAGCTTTAACCGCTCACGGGATACATGCAGCCGTAGACGGATACCACACCTAGAGGTGCCGGTGATGATTTTATACCGATTTATCGGATATCGAAGTTATAACAGGTAAAAGAACTAATATTAATTGCTATTTCGGTAACGACTCTAGCAAACCATAAAGTTTTTAATGCCTGGGTCTGTCATTTAAAAAAATAAACAACTTTAAAAATACGTCACGACAATCGTGTGTGTTATTGTTTGGGCTGGTGATTTCGGTGTTTATTTGTTGAAAACATACCGTAAGTAGCGTTTTTTAAGTTTACGCTGAATATAAATGTTTATAAACTATACTTTAAGCAGTAATTTCATGGTATACGTTAGAACCACTCAAACGGAATATTATCATATTTATCCAAGTACAACAAACATTTCATTAGTGCTTTTTAAGTGCAGGATTTGCGGTGTATTACTGCATTTTATTTGAGATGTTTTTATTGGTAGTACGGAGGATATTTATTTAGCAATGCAGAATAATAATTTTTATTTATAAAAACTTGTATTTAAACTGAATCTTTTCTAATTTGCGAAACCAAATAGCCGCCATTTAGCGGAGCGCATCGCGTGAGCGGATCGCAAAGATCTGAGGGGCACTGCCACTGTGCCCGTCACCCTGAGACATAAGTTGATAAGTCCCATGTGCCAGCAATTTCACCAGCACCCTTACCCTTTAAAACCGGAACACAGTAAAGCTGACACTATTGCATGGCGGCAGAAATAGGTGAGGTGGCAGTACTACCCTGGACGAAATCTTTCACACGGAGCTCTACTGATTTTGAATGAAACTGTAACTGACATTCAAATGTACTAAATAAATATAATTACATGCTCCAGACCCAAGCAAGTATGTCCTCAGTTTTGGATGAAAACCGTATTTTTCTAGATACCCTACAGGTAATATAGAATATATAGCCCTAAATTGGAATACCATATTTTCGTTATTATATACATTGGGCGTTTATGTGATCAAAAGGAAGAATATTGTCTAAGTCTGAATCCCTTCATAATATATTAGACATAGACATAGACACACTTTTATTGCCACGAATACAACGACACAAAACCACACTACAACAGTTTACATGCACGTAATTATTAGACATACAATTACAACTATTTTGATTAAAAAATCTGACCTCAAAAGTTTGCTGATGGGCCAAATTTTATTGCAATCGGTTAACGGAAAATGCGCGTACCCTCTTTCGAACAAAAAATAATCATCAAAATCGGTTCACAAGTGCCGTCTCAACCTCAAAAACCTCCTCCTTTTTTTAAAGTCGGTTAAAAAGATCAGACATACGTACGTACATTATGACTCAAGAAATAAACATTAAAATAGTAACAAATAAAGTCAGACAAGTGAATACCTTAAAGCAAAGCATAAACACCAAAATTTATACGTACAATAAACCACCAGTTATTGTATCTGATTTGGCAATGGCTACATTCAAGCAAATACTAAAACTTTATTTTTAAAATGACGCTTTTTTACAGAATCAAGGAATTTATGGCTTCAAATGTAAATAAACATTCATTTACTTAAATTATAATAATGATAAGCAGTCTTTATTTTTTTGTATACCTATATAATTTAATTATTAATATAAGGAT